TGTGGTGTAATGTGTGGTGTGGTTGAAGGTGTGGTGTAATGTGTGGTGTGGTGTAATGTGTGGTGTAATGTGTGGTGTGGTTGAAGGTGTGGTGTAATGTGTGGTGTGGTTGAAGCTGTGGTGTGGTTGGTGGTGTGGTGTAATGTGTGGTGTGGTTGAAGGTGTGGTGTGGTGTAATGTGTGGTGTGGTTGGTGGTGTGGTGTAATGTGTGGTGTGGTGTAATGTGTGGTGTGGTTGAAGGTGTGGTGTAATGTGTGGTGTGGTTGAAGGTGTGGTGTGGTGTAATGTGAGGTGTGGTTGGTGGTGTGGTGTGGTGGAAGGTGTGGTGTGGTCTGGGAAAGGTGTGGTGTACTGTGTGGTGTGGGAAAGGTGTGGTGTAATGTGGTGTGGTTGAAGGTGTGGTGTGGGAAAGGTGTGGTGTAATGTGTGGTGTGGTGGATGGTGTGGTGTGGGAAAGGTGTGGTGTGGTGGAAGGTGTGGTGTGGTGTAATGTGTGGTGTGGTTGGTGGTGTGGTGTGGTTGAAGGTGTGGTAATGTGTGGTGTGGTTGAAGGTGTGGTGTGGTGTAATATGTGGTGTGGTTGGTGGTGTGGTGTGGTTGAAGGTGTGGTGTGGGAAAGGTGTGGTGTGGTTGGTGATGTGATGGAAGGTGTGGTGTGGTGTGGGAAAGGTGTGGTGTGGGAAAGGTGTGGTGTAATGTGTGGTGTGGTTGAAGGTGTGGTGTGGTGTGGGAAAGGTGTGGTGTAATGTGTGGTGTGGGAAAGGTGTGGTGTGGTGGAAGGTGTGGTGTAATGTGTGGTGTGGGAAAGGTGTGGTGTAACGTGTGGTGTGGTGGATGGTGTGGTGTGGGAAAGGTGTGGTGTGGTGTGGTGGAAGGTGTGGTGTGGGAAAGTGTGGAAAGATAAATGTTCTAATTGTTTTTTCTCTCTCCTTCCTTTGTTAGTCGGATTGTGTGAGGTGGGGCGAGGTGAGGTGGGGTGGGCGTTAGATCCAGCTAGAAAATTGAGGACAGACAGGTGCGCCGCCGTTACGGCACGCTGCTGGCCCGGGCACCTATATGCAAATCAGGGGCTGATTTGGCGGGATCTGGCACAGTAGAGAATCATTAGCAGACGAGAAGCTGACCCATGCAACAAGTATCTACACGTGACCTTGACACTATCGGTGACCTTTCGCTTTCAAGTTCAGGGTGTCTAGATGTTTACTAGGTGCCGTGGTGTTTAGTTGTATTACATCAACTGAGTTTGGTCACATAGGTTTAGGTTTGGTCCCATAGGTTTAGGTTTGGTCACATAGGTTTAGGTTTGGTCCCATAGGTTTAGGTTCGGTCACATAGGTTTAGGTTTGGTCACATAGGTTTAGGTTTGGTCACATAGGTTTAGGTTTGGTCACATAGGTTTAGGTTTGGTCACATAGGTTTAGGTTCGGTCACATAGGTTTAGGTTTGGTCACATAGGTTTAGGTTTGGTCACATAGGTTTAGGTTTGGTCACATAGGTTTAGGTTTGGTCACATAGGTTTAGGTTTGGTCACATAGGTTTAGGTTTGGTCACATAGGTTTAGGTTTGGTCACATAGGTTTAGGTTTGGTCACATAGGTTTAGGTTCGGTCACATAGGTTTAGGTTTGGTCACATAGGTTTAGGTTCGGTCACATAGGTTTAGGTTCGGTCACATAGGTTTAGGTTCGGTCACATAGGTTTAGGTTTGGTCACATAGGTTTAGGTTTGGTCACATAGGTTTAGGTTTGGTCACATAGGTTTAGGTTCGGTCACATAGGTTTAGGTTTGGTCACATAGGTTTAGGTTCGGTCACATAGGTTTAGGTTCGGTCACATAGGTTTAGGTTCGGTCACATAGGTTTAGGTTTGGTCACATAGGTTTAGGTTTGGTCACATAGGTTTAGGTTTGGTCCCATAGGTTTAGGTTTGGTCACATAGGTTTAGGTTTGGTCACATAGGTTTAGGTTTGGTCACATAGGTTTAGGTTTGGGCCGCAGGATGGAGCAGGTGCACCTGTCGACGGGACATGTGGGGGTGGGGCGGGGTGGAATAGCGGCACACGCGCGGACAGGTGTTCCAAGGTATGGGGGAGGGGAGGGGAGGAAGGCTTCTACAGGTCCTCGGCACGCGACAGCAATTGGGTCACACGGTCTATCTAGGCTACCCGGGAACAAAGGGGACAGGTGGGGCTGCCCAGGTGGTCACCGCCATCTAGCCGCTTGATGTCCTATAGCCGCTAGATGTCCTATAGCCGCTAGTAGATGTCCTATAGCCACTAGTAGATGTCCTATAGCCGCTAGATGTCCTATAGCCGCTAGATGTCCTATAGCCGCTTGATGTCCTATAGCCACTAGATGTCCTATAGCCGCTTGATGTCCTATAGCCGCTAGTAGATGTCCTATAGCCGCTTGATGTCCTATAGCCGCTAGATGTCCTATAGCCGCTTGATGTCCTATAGCCGCTAGATGTCCTATAGCCGCTTGATGTCCTATAGCCGCTAGTAGATGTCCTATAGCCGCTAGATGTCCTATAGCCGCTAGATGTCCTATAGCCGCTAGATGTCCTATAGCCGCTAGATGTCCTATTGCCGCTAGTAGATGTCCTATAGCCACTAGTAGATGTCCTATAGCCGCTTGATGTCCTATAGCCACTTGATGTCCTATAGCCGCTTGATGTCCTATAGCCGCTAGATGTCCTATAGCCGCTTGATGTCCTATAGCCACTTGATGTCCTATAGCCGCTTGATGTCCTATAGCCGCTAGATGTCCTATAGCCGCTTGATGTCCTATAGCCGCTAGATGTCCTATAGCCGCTAGATGTCCTATAGCCGCTTGATGTCCTATAGCCGCTAGTAGATGTCCTATAGCCGCTTGATGTCCTATAGCCGCTAGATGTCCTATAGCCACTAGATGTCCTATAGCCGCTTGATGTCCTATAGCCGCTTGATGTCCTATAGCCGCTAGTAGATGTCCTATAGCCGCTAGATGTCCTATAGCCGCTAGATGTCCTATAGCCGCTAGATGTCCTATAGCCGCTAGATGTCCTATTGCCGCTAGTAGATGTCCTATAGCCACTAGTAGATGTCCTATAGCCGCTTGATGTCCTATAGCCACTTGATGTCCTATAGCCGCTTGATGTCCTATAGCCGCTAGATGTCCTATAGCCGCTTGATGTCCTATAGCCACTTGATGTCCTATAGCCGCTTGATGTCCTATAGCCGCTAGATGTCCTATAGCCGCTTGATGTCCTATAGCCGCTAGATGTCCTATAGCCGCTAGATGTCCTATAGCCGCTTGATGTCCTATAGCCGCTAGTAGATGTCCTATAGCCGCTTGATGTCCTATAGCCGCTAGATGTCCTATAGCCACTAGATGTCCTATAGCCGCTTGATGTCCTATAGCCGCTAGATGTCCTATAGCCGCTTGATGTCCTATAGCCGCTAGTAGATGTCCTATAGCCGCTAGATGTCCTATAGCCGCTTGATGTCCTACAGCCGCTAGTAGATGTCCTATAGTCGCTAGATGTCCTATAGCCGCTAGTAGATGTCCTATAGCCGCTAGATGTCCTATAGCCGCTTGATGTCCTTTGGCCGCTTGATGTCCTATAGCCGCTAGATGTCCTATAGCCGCTAGATGTCCTATAGCCGCTAGTAGATGTCCTATAGCCGCTTGATGTCCTATAGCCGCTTGATGTCCTATAGCCGCTAGATGTCCTATAGCCACTAGATGTCCTATAGCCGCTTGATGTCCTATTGCCGCTAGCAGATGTCCTATAGCCGCTAGATGTCCTATAGCCGCTTGATGTCCTATAGCCGCTAGTAGATGTCCTATAGCCGCTAGATGTCCTATAGCCGCTTGATGTCCTTTGGCCGCTTGATGTCCTATAGCCGCTAGATGTCCTATAGCCACTAGTAGATGTCCTATAGCCGCTTGATGTCCTATAGCCGCTTGATGTCCTATTGCCGCTAGTAGATGTCCTATAGCCGCTAGATGTCCTATAGCCGCTTGATGTCCTATAGCCGCTAGTAGATGTCCTATAGCCGCTAGATGTCCTATAGCCGCTTGATGTCCTTTGGCCGCTTGATGTCCTATAGCCGCTAGATGTCCTATAGCCGCTAGATGTCCTATAGCCGCTAGTAGATGTCCTATAGCCGCTTGATGTCCTATAGCCGCTAGATGTCCTATAGCCACTAGATGTCCTATAGCCGCTTGATGTCCTATTGCCGCTAGCAGATGTCCTATAGCCACTAGTAGATGTCCTATAGCCGCTTGATGTCCTATAGCCGCTTGATGTCCTATAGCCGCTTGATGTCCTATAGCCGCTAGATGTCCTATAGCCGCTTGATGTCCTATAGCCACTTGATGTCCTATAGCCGCTAGATGTCCTATAGCCGCTTGATGTCCTATAGCCGCTAGATGTCCTATAGCCGCTTGATGTCCTATAGCCGCTTGATGTCCTATAGCCGCTAGTAGATGTCCTATAGCCGCTTGATGTCCTATAGCCGCTAGTAGATGTCCTATAGCCGCTTGATGTCCTATTGCCGCTAGCAGATGTCCTATAGCCGTTAGCAGATGTCCTATAGCCGCTAGTAGATGTCCTATAGCCGCTTGATGTCCTATAGCCGCTAGTAGATGTCCTATAGCCGCTTGATGTCCTATAGCCGCTAGTAGATGTCCTATAGCCGCTTGATGTCCTATAGCCGCTAGTAGATGTCCTATAGCCGCTTGATGTCCTATAGCCGCTAGTAGATGTCCTATAGCCGCTAGTAGATTCCTATAGCCGCTAGTAGATGTCCTTTAGCCGCTAGTAGATGTCCTATAGCCGCTAGTAGATGTCCTATAGCCGCTAGATGTCTTAGAGGCGCATGTCTTACAAGTCCTACGGTGATGTCCTATAGGACCTACGTTGATGTACTATAGGACCTACGTTGATGTACTATAGGAGTAATAGAGTGATTAAAGAATGATGAAATTGTTTCCAATTGTTCTTTGTTGTTTTTTAGGTAGAGGAACTAGAGGAAGCGGATATAGTCAGGCCGGCCATCTGCCGGCTTCTTCGGCTTTGTAAAGGGGTAGCACCTGTGAGAGCCGGCTATTTGACCGGCCGAGTCACCGGCTGAGAATTACTCGCTCACCTAGGATCCTACCGGCAGTTCATTCTAGCCGGCAGTTCAACCAGTCGATTTTTCCAAACTATAAGGTGGGTTTCTTTCTGACATTTTAAAGCATTTGAAGATAGTGTACAAACTTTTAATAGCCTTAGGCCTAACGTTTATTAGATACATATATATAATATAAATATGTATGTATATATATATATATATATATATATATATATATATATATATATATATATATATATACAAATATATGCTCACATGTATACAGTAGAGTCGCGGGGGGGGGGGGGGGGAATCCGCATCGGGTGTCACCATTTCGGGGGTGACACCAAATAAAAAAGCGGGCTAATATTCTTCTCTAATATAAAGGTTGGGATAGCCAGCAGAGTCGGGCTTTAGAAGTGTGTGGCAAAACCCCACGTGTTTCTAGAATATTCCGGATGCGACAAGACGTGTGTGTCAAATATATTACAAAGTACTATATCAAGGTAGATTCATTAATGGTTTTTTAATTAATTAAACATTTAATTAAGTAACCTTTTGTGTCTTGTCATCGAATCTTGACCTACGTGAAAAGTTTGAAAGAAGTCGGTCCGGTAGAAGTGCTCGAAAGTTTCCACCCATGACAGACGATAGACCGAGAAATTGAGTTCAATAAAAACTTGTAATCCTCACATTCTGAAGGGAATTGAGAAATCGGAGATATAATCAAATACAGAGGCGGAACTACCATAACGCCAGACCGAGGGGGGAGGGGGCATGCTGTTTAGGGGGACTAAAAAAATCCGACCTGACACAACAAAATATTTTATTCATTTTTTGCACCTTGATAGACGGGTGGTTAGGGTTAGACAAGTGGTTTTATTAAAAAAAAATCTAATACAGCCGCGATAGCCCAACAGTTCAAAATGTTTGCATGAGCTGTAGTATCAAAGATAGGCAAACCTTCATGAGCTGTAGTATCAAAGATAGGCAAACCTTCATGAGCTGTAGTATCCAGTGGCGTAGCGAGGTCGGGTGTCACCCGGTGCGGCACTTAATGGTGTCACCCCCCCCCCCCCCAGAGGCATAGAGACCCTTCCCAGGGACAAACTTTCAAATTTTCGATTTGCACCCCCCCCCCCCTCAAGTTTTCGATTTGCACCCCCCCTCCTCAAGTTTTCGATTTGCACCCCCCCCCTCAAACTTTCGATTTGCACCCCCCCCCCTCGAGTTTTTCTCTATATATTTTGCTATTTTTTGCCTTGGTGTCACCCCCCTAAATGGTGTCACCCGGTGCGGTCCGCACCCCCCGCCCCCCCCCCCTCGCTACGCCCCTGGTAGTATCAAAGATAGGCAAACCTTCATGAGCTGTAGTATCAAAGATAGGCAAACCTTCATGAGCTGTAGTATCAAAGATAGGCAAACCTTCAAACCTCTTCCATGATTTTATTGTTCCTCTTTAAATCGTCCATAAGGTCCGTCCAAAAAAATTAATACTTTAGTACTAAACCAAATAAAAATACATTTCTTCTCTTCATTTTTTTTTTTCAAAATAAGGCATACTAAAGAATGATACAGCTATAAAAAGGAATGTATTCAAAACTAATAATATAAATGCCAAAATAAATCATAAAAATAAAACGTTTGTGTTTAAATACTTTGAATCGGCTTGCCAGATATGAATTTAGCTTTTCACTATTTTCGGCGGGTAGAAATGATGAGATAAAGACATTTTTTTAAAAATACGATTACATCAGACTCGAGATTCGTTGGAGGATATTTTTGTGAGCTTCGTTGTCTCACGGTGGATATACTCTGTAATGAATTAGGTTAAATTAATAAATTAGGAAATGGTTTCAATAATTGATTTTAGAAATTAGTGAGGCGGTATACTAATATATATATATATATATATATATATATATATATATATATATATATATATATATATATATATATATATATATATATATATATAAATTCATTTAATTATTTATTAACATGTACACACAATTTTTTTTTTTGGGGGGGGGGGGGGCTTTTTTGCAAGTTCCGCCACTGGTAAAATACCCCTTTCTGTTATTGGAAATTTCCCATAAATCTACGTGCAGGGGCGAGTATTAAGTGAAACGGTAGGAGTATGACATAATGGCAGATTATAAAAAAAATTAAATTCACTGTGCACGATTCCCACCAAAAGATGCAGTTGTCTGTCCGATTGTGTTGATCTAATATTTTCAATCCTACGACTATATGGCTCGCCCATATCGCTCCCCCCCCCCACACACACACACACACAAATAACTGTTGGGTCTCCGCCGTACCATGTCGTCTAACAAGTTGTCGCATTGTCTTAGTCTGAGTTGCTTTCATGGACGGGGGGGGGGGGAGGAGAGAGAGAGAGAATACAAAAGCCAATTCAAGGTCAAATTGTTGGTGGGGTGGAAATGTTGCCGCGTCTGTGTATTGCTGGGGTGGGGGGCTACTTAAAATCACCACGCGTCTATATTTTGTTGGAAGGGTGGGGGGGGGGGCTGGAGTCTTGACGCGTCTATATTGTTTACCATTCCTCACGGCACGCGTCTGGTTGTAGGGCTCGTTCACACACACCCTTCCCCCTCCCCCTCGTTTTTTTCCTGACCCCTTAAATAAAATGCCCACGTGCCGACTATTGTCGTTCTGGCTCAATGCGAACTTTTTTTTTTTTAGACTTTGCTGTCAATCGTAGGAAAAAGTGGGAGGAGCTAGAGCCGAGTGTTAGTGAAGCGCTGCGCCAAGCTTGAAGCGCGGGCTGTCGAGCGAGGAAGGAGAGCAGTCGGAGACTGGACTGGATAACTACAAGATTGAGAGAACTGAGTAGCACCATGGGTCCGGCACTTTTCGCCGCTATTTGGACCGTGTATTTCTTTTCATATTGGAATGAGGTATGTTTTGCATGTTATCTATAAATTGTTGCCAGCTAGTCGGCTAAGACCGAGAAGAAACGTCCGTTTGCTCGGCATGTGCAGTGGTACTCACCACCATACCTGTGGCAGGCCAGTTGTGAGCGTCCTAGGCCAGGTACAGGCTTGCCTTAGATTATTCTAGGCACGCTTTCTTGTGCAGGTGTGTTCCAGCAAATATGGTGGCTTGTTGCCCCTTTAGATTAGCTGTAGCGATAAGTCTAGCTAGAAGTGGTGACCTAGCTGTAGCTAGAACTGATGAACTGACCATCAGACGTTTGTTATCCGCTCACGGCCAGCAGTGTGCTGTCCCCCCCCCCTAGTCACCATAGAGAAAATAGATCGATTTCAGTCGAGTTGTGTTTGTATTGATTGCTGTGTGGCTCGTCCTTGTATTGATTGGTGTGTGTTGATGTGTGTGAATCGTGTGTGTGTTGATTGATGTGTGTGTTGTTTGTGTGGTGTGTGTGTGTGTGTGGTTTGATGTGTGTCGTTGTTTGATGTGTGTGTGTGTTTAGTTTGATGTGTGTGTTGTGTGTGTGTTTAGTTTGATGTGTGTGTGTGTGTGTGTTGTTTGATGTGTGTTTAGTTTGATGTGTGTTGTGTGTGTGTAGTTTGATGTGTGTTGTGTGTGTGTAGTTTGATGTGTGTGTTTAGTTTGATGTGTGTGTAGTTTGATGTGTGTTGTGTGTGTAGTTTGATGTGTGTGTTGTTTGATGTGTGTGTTGTTTGATGTGTGTGTAGTTTGTGTGTGTAGTTTGATGTGTGTGTAGTTTGATGTGTGTGTAGTTTGATGTGTGTGTAGTTTGATGTGTGTGTAGTTTGATGTGTGTGTAGTTTGATGTGTGTGTAGTTTGATGTGTGTGATGTGTGTGTAGTTTGATGTGTGTGTAGTTTGATGTGTGTGTAGTTTGATGTGTGTGATGTGTGTGTAGTTTGATGTGTGTGTAGTTTGATGTGTGTGATGTGTGTGTAGTTTGATGTGTGTGTAGTTTGATGTGTGTGATGTGTGTGTAGTTTGATGTGTGTGATGTGTGTGTAGTTTGATGTGTGTGTAGTTTGATGTGTGTGATGTGTGTGTAGTTTGATGTGTGTGTTGTGTGTGTAGTTTGATGTGTGTGATGTGTGTGTAGTTTGATGTGTGTGTAGTTTGATGTGTGTGTTGTGTGTGTAGTTTGATGTGTGTGTTGTGTGTGTAGTTTGATGTGTGTGATGTGTGTGTAGTTTGATGTGTGTGATGTGTGTGTAGTTTGATGTGTGTGATGTGTGTGTAGTTTGATGTGTGTGTAGTTTGATGTGTGTGTAGTTTGATGTGTGTGTAGTTTGATGTGTGTGTAGTTTGATGTGTGTGATGTGTGTGTAGTTTGATGTGTGTGATGTGTGTGTAGTTTGATGTGTGTGTAGTTTGATGTGTGTGTTGTGTGTGTAGTTTGATGTGTGTGTTGTGTGTGTAGTTTGATGTGTGTGATGTGTGTGTAGTTTGATGTGTGTGTAGTTTGATGTGTGTGTTGTGTGTGTAGTTTGATGTGTGTGTTGTGTGTGTAGTTTGATGTGTGTGATGTGTGTGTAGTTTGATGTGTGTGTAGTTTGATGTGTGTGTTGTGTGTGTAGTTTGATGTGTGTGTTGTGTGTGTAGTTTGATGTGTGTGTTGCTCGTGCGAGAAAACAATTTTTAAAAAACTAATCACGTGACCTATTTTTTTCTCTAATTCCTGGATGTTACGCTCTTTGCTTTGATGGATATTTTGGATTACCTTGAACCCACTGACTTGGATAATGGATCTATTGGATATTGCTGACAGAGCTCGGCGTCCGGTGTTTTTGAACTGCGCATTGAATCATTCCACAACGACCTGGGTTTGACCAGCAACGGTACGTGCTGTAGCGGCTATCGCAAGAACGGCGTCTGCAGCTTGCAGTGCCGGACGTACTTCAAAGTTTGTTTGACGCACTACCAGTCCAACATCGCTGCATTGACCAATCCAAAATGCACGTTCGCCAACTACAGCACTCCCGTGGTAGGCAACAACTCCATGGACTTCACCACAGCCGCCACCAGCAGCACTTTCCGCTACCCAGTCACGGAATTCGCTTGGCCAGTAAGTTGTAGAAGACAGCCGTCATATTTCTAGGTGTTAGTGTCCCACTACCATAGTTTGTACTGTTAGTGTCCCACTACCATAGCTTGTAGTGTTAGTGTCCCACTACCATAGTTTGTACTGTTAGTGTCCCACTACCATAGCTTGTAGTGTTAGTGTCCCACTACCATAGCTTGTAGTGTTAGTGTCCCACTACCATAGTTTGTACTGTTAGTGTCCCACTACCATAACTTGTACTGTTAGTGTCCCACTACCATAACGTGTAGTGTTAGTGTCCCACTACCATAACTTGTTAGTGTCTCTCCTTCTTCCCTCCCCCCTCCCCCCCCCCCCCCCCCCCCCACTTTGCTCGGTCAGTGGCCACTGGTCAAGTTGGTATCAATTCTAGCAAGTGGACGTCATGTCTAATCCATGACGTCATGTCTAGTCAATGACGTCATGTCTCGCCGGTAATCCTTGAAGAGAAGCCTCCCCCCCCCCCCCCCGGGTCAGACATGACCCGACTGACCCCTGCCAGCAGGTGCGTCCAGCCAGCTGACCTTTTTGTTCCCACGTTCTCGGGTGGGGTGGGGTGGGGGAGGCGCGCATTGTGTTGGCGCATGGGGTGGGGACGTCTGTTCTTGTCTACTGTTGTTATCTAGGTCACGTTGCAGTCTATTGATTTGCTCTAACAGTTGATGATGCGAGACCTTTTTTTTTTCCTGCAGGGCGATTTTTCATTAATCATCGAGGCTTGGCATGAAGCCGATAGTTCTAGATCAGGTAAGTCCCTGACCTTTAAAAATTGTAATTAGAGTTGTGGGTACCCCCTGGTGCTAAACATATCCCATTGTAAAAGAGATTTTGATTGGCCATGAATGGAGCAGTAAAGCGGTGCGGGATTGGTTGGCTGTGTCAACTGAGTGTCGCTGTGTGCCACCTGCTAGTCACCTGTACGTTCACGCCCGCGATAGGCGCACACATACACACATTTATTCTTCCTCTTGAACAAACCAAATGCTTTTCTTATCTTCATTTTTTTTTTTTGCGACAAAGTTTCTCCAGTCGCCATGTCGGTCTGATGACGAAATTGTTTTCTCTCGGCCGCTGGGCAGATGTTAAACTTTCAAAACTATGTGACCTCGAAATTATCAAGGTCAAAGCTGGGTCAGACAGCAAGGCCAGATGTTGGCACCACACCTGTCGCCCCACTGACCATTGTCCACCCCAGCCGTACCCCCCCCCCCCCCCCACACACACCAAATGGGTTTGCCATTCACATTATTTTCATTTTTGTATCCCCTTACACATTACTATGGATGCTTGTTCTTACATGATGTGTATGTTCTTACATAATGTGTGCATGTTCTTACATGATGTATGTTCTTACATGATGTATGTTCTTACATGATGTGTATGTTCTTACATGATGTGTGTATGTTCTTATATGATGTGTGTTTGTAGTTGGATTGTGTTCAAATGGAAATGAGTTTGACCATTGCCGCTGTTGGTTCCCCCCCCAGAAAATGGCAGCACCCTGATAGCCCGTCTGGCCGGCATCAAAAGTCTCGTGTCCGGTCAGCAGTGGCTCGACTCAGCAGAGACCATCAACACGACAGAGATCAGATACGGGCTCAGGTTTCAATGTCAAGCCAACTATTATGGAGCTATGTGCGCAGACTTTTGTCGAGCTAGAAATGACCAATTTGGTCATTACACGTGTAGTCAAAATGGCACCAAAATTTGCACAGATGGATGGGACGGAGAATATTGTGAGACTGGTAAGTCAAAGTTAGTTGCTGGTAGTAAAGTTAGTTGCTGGTGGTAAAGTTAGTTGATGGTAGTAAAGTTAGTTGCTGGTGGTAAAGATCTACCATAACCCAAGGTTTGGTTTCTTTCAGCTATTTGCCTCCCTGGCTGCCACCCAGATAATGGCTACTGCGATCATCCTAATGAGTGCAGGTAATGATCATTGACCATCACCCTCACACCCACCATCACACCCACCATCACACCTACCATCACACCCTCCCTCATACCTACCATCACACCTACCCTCACACATACCATCACACCTACCCTCACACCTACCATCACACCCACCATCCCACCCACCATCCCACCTACCATCACACCCACCATCACACTCACCCTCACACCCACCATCACACTCACCCTCACACCCACCCTCACACCCACCCTCACACATACCATCACACCTACCCTCACACCTACCATCACACCCACCCTCACACCCACCCTCACACCTACCATCACACCCACCCTCACACCTACCATCACACCTACCCTCACACCCACCCTCACACCCACCCTCATCACACCCACCCTCACACCCACCCTCACACCCACCCTCACACCTACCATCACACCCACCCTCACACCTACCATCACACCCACCCTCACACCCACCCTCATCACACCCACCCTCACACCCACCCTCACACCTACCATCACACCCACCCTCACACCCACCCTCATCACACCCACCCTCACACCTACCATCACACCCACCCTCACACCCACCCTCACACCTACCATCACACCCACCCTCACACCCACCCTCATCACACCCACCCTCACACCTACCATCACACCCACCCTCACACCCACCCTCATCACACCCACCCTCACACCTACCATCACACCCACCCTCACACCTACCATCACACCCACCATCACACCTACCATCACACCCACCCTCACACCCACCCTCACACCCACCATCACACCCACCCTCACACCTACCATCACACCCACCCTCACACCTACCATCACACCCACCCTCACACCTACCATCACACCCACCCTCACACCCACCCTCACACCTACCATCACACCCACCCTCACACCTACCATCACACCCACCCTCACACCTACCATCACACCCACCCTCACACCTACCATCACACCCACCCTCACACCCACCCTCATCACACCCACCCTCACACCCACCCTCACACCTACCATCACACCCACCCTCACACCCACCCTCATCACACCCACCCTCACACCTACCATCACACCTACCATCACACCCACCCTCACACCTACCATCACACCCACCCTCATCACACCCACCCTCACACCTACCCTCACACATACCATCACACCTACCCTCACACCTACCATCACACCCACCATCCCACCCACCATCCCACCTACCATCACACCCACCATCACACTCACCCTCACACCCACCATCACACTCACCCTCACACCCACCCTCACACCCACCCTCACACATACCATCACACCTACCCTCACACCTACCATCACACCCACCCTCACACCCACCCCTCACACCTACCATCACACCCACCCTCACACCTACCATCACACCTACCCTCACACCCACCCTCACACCCACCCTCATCACACCCACCCTCACACCCACCCTCACACCCACCCTCACACCTACCATCACACCCACCCTCACACCTACCATCACACCCACCCTCACACCCACCCTCATCACACCCACCCTCACACCCACCCTCACACCTACCATCACACCCACCCTCACACCCACCCTCATCACACCCACCCTCACACCTACCATCACACCTACCATCACACCCACCCTCACACCTACCATCACACCCACCCTCATCACACCCACCCTCACACCCACCCTCACACCTACCATCACACCCACCCTCATCACACCCACCCTCACACCCACCCTCACACCTACCATCACACCTACCATCACACCCACCCTCACACCCACCCTCATCACACCCACCATCACACCCTCCCTCACACCCACCCTCACACCTACCATCACACCCACCCTCACACCTACCATCACACCCACCCTCACACCCACCCTCACACCTACCATCACACCCACCCTCACACCCACCATCACACTCACCCTCACACCCACCCTCACACCTACCATCACACCCACCCTCACACCTACCATCACACCCACCCTCACACCTACCATCACACCCACCCTCACACCCACCCTCATCACACCCACCCTCACACCTACCATCACACCCACCATCACACCTACCATCACACCCACCATCACACCCACCCTCACACCTACCATCACACCCACCCTCACACCTACCATCACACCCACCCTCACACCTACCATCACCCCCACCATCACACCTACCATCCCACCTACCATCACACCCACCATCACACCCACCATCACACCCACCCTCACACCTACCATCACACCTACCATCACACCCACCCTCACACCTACCATCACACCTACCATCACACCCACCCTCACACCCTCCCTCACACCCACCATCACACCCTCCCTCACACCCACCATCACACCCACCCTCACACCTACCATCACACCCACCCTCACACCTACCATCACACCTACCATCACACCCTCCCTCACACCCACCATCACACCTACCATCACACCCACCCTCACACCTACCATCACACCCACCCTCACACCCTCCCTCACACCCACCATCACACCCTCCCTCACACCTACCATCACACCCACCCTCACACCCACCATCACACCCACCCTCACACCTACCATCACACCCTCCCTCACACCTACCATCACACCCACCCTCACACCTACCATCACACCCTCCCTCACACCTACCATCACACCCACCCTCACACCCACCATCACACCCACCCTCACACCCACCCTCACACCCTCCCTCATACCTACCATCACACCCACCATCACACCCACCCTCACACCTACCATCACACCCACCATCACACCTACCATCACACCTACCATCACACCTACCATCACACCTACCATCACACTCACCCTCACACCTACCATCACACCCTCCCTCACACCTACCATCACACCCACCCTCACACCCACCATCACACCCACCCTCATCACACCCACCCTCATCACACCCACCCTCACACCCTCCCTCATACCTACCATCACACCTACCCTCACACCTACCATCACACCCACCCTCACCATGCCACCTCTTACCTCAGCTGCCGCCTGGGATGGCAGGGTCAATACTGCAACAGCTGCATCCCCTACCCTGGGTGCCAGAGGGGGTCATGTGACAAACCTTGGCAGTGTAACTGTGACGAGGGCTGGGGAGGCTTGTTCTGTAATCAAGGTAGGTTGGGCTAATCTAACGGATGGTAGGTTGGGCTAATCTAACGGATGGTAGGTTGGGCTAATCTAACGGATGGTAGGTTGGGCTAATCTAACGGATGGTAGGTTGGGCTAATCTAACGGATGGTATGTTGGGCTAATCTAACGGATGGTTAGGTTATGGGCTAATCTAACGGATGGTAGGTTGGGCTAATCTAACGGATGGTTAGGTTATGGGCTAATCTAACGGATGGTAGGTTGGGCTAATCTAACGGATGGTTAGGTTATGGGCTAATCTAACGGATGGTAGGTTGGGCTAATCTAATGGATGGTTAGGTTGGGCTAATCTAACGGATGGTTAGGTTATGGGCTAATCTTATGGATGGTAGGTTGGGCTAATCTAATGGATGGTTAGGTTGGGCTAATCTAACGGATGGTTAGGTTATGGGCTAATCTAATGGATGGTAGGTTATGGGCTAATCTAATGGATGGTAGGTTATGGGCTAATCTAATGGATGGTTAAGTTATGGGCTAATCTAACGGATGGTTAGGTTATGGGCTAATCTAATGGATGGTTAGGTTATGGGCTAATCTAATGGATGGTTAGGTTATGGGCTAATCTAATGGATGGTTAAGTTATGGGCTAATCTAATGGATGGTTAAGTTATGGGCTAATCTAATGGATGGTTAAGTTATGGGCTAATCTAATGGATGGTAGGTTATGGGCTAATCTAATGGATGGTAGGTTATGGGCTAATCTAATGGATGGTTAAGTTATGGGCTAATCTAATGGATGGTAGGTTATGGGCTAATCTAATGGATGGTAGGTTATGGGCTAATCTAATGGATGGTTAAGTTATGGGCTAATCTAATGGATGGTAGGTTATGGGCTAATCTAATGGATGGTTAAGTTATGGGCTAATCTAACACATTTTGGCTGTTGACATTTTTTATTTACACATGTCAAAAATTTGTTCAGATTTGAATTTCTGCACTCACCACAAGCCGTGTAAGAATGGGGGCGTGTGCACCAACACAGGCGCTGGTAGCTACACGTGTTCATGTAATGCCAGCTACACCGGGGTCAACTGTGAGCGTGAGATTGATGATTGTCAGAATAAACCCTGCTTGAATCGTGGACTCTGCCTGGTAAGTCTCTAGAGGTTAGGATAGGGGTCTCTAGAGGTTAGGATAGGGGTCTCTAGAGGTTAGGATAGTGCTTCTCCTCTATTGATGTCAGAAGACTGATGTGACCCAGATCTGTTTAAAATCACACTAGGGCCTGGCACACAAGAGAGACAACTCCCAACAAATTAAGTTTGCAATGATTGAAAAAAAGTTTGTTGTTTGTGTTATTCTAAAACAAATCACAAAATGTACTTGTTAAGAAACAAATGTTTTTTAAAGTGTTTTTGTCGAGTTATTTATAGAGTATAGAGCACATGGTTTGCCCTGCTAACCTTACAATTTTATAATTTCCATTCTACAACAGATTCTGATTGCTTATTCTATCTAATAGCTGAACTCCTAACTTATTATAGAATCTGTTTAGTTGTTCTATTCCTTAAAATAAATTGAAGAATTGATAATTTTAATTCTGAAGCACAATTGTCCAAAATGTAGAATAAAATAATGCTAAAAAGCTTAAAAAAAAAAAAAAAAAAGTCAGTTTCTTTGGGGGGGGGGGGGAATCTTGCGCATTCTTGTACTGTACTATAGCTAGTTAGCCTGCACGGCATTAAGTGCTGTTTGCATTATAGTGATGTAATAGAAACATGACAGGTAATAGGGTAGTAAATTAGGGTTATACTAGTAGCGACGGGTCTGTTGCATGTATCTATATCAGTAGCTAATGAGATGAAATCTCCTCCCCACTGAAACTAGATCTGCTGCCATATTGGGGGGGGGGGGGGGGGGGGGGAAGGGTTGAACCCTGTGCCAGTTAGACATTGAACCCTGTGCCAGTTAGACATTGAACCCTGTGCCAGTTAGACATTGAACCCTGTGCCAGTTAGACATTGAACCCTGTGCCAGTTAGACATTGAACCCTGTGCCAGTTAGACATTGAACCCTGTGCCAGTTAGACATTGAACCCTGTGCCAGTTAGACATTGAACCCTGTGCCATATTTTTCAGGATATTGGCACTGGCTTCCAGTGTCAGTGCCCCCAGGGATTCTATGGGCGTCAGTGTGAGAAGCAAGCAGTGTCCTGTAAAGCTGGTCCTTGTGTCAATGGTGGTACGTGTCTAGAGGGGGCTGGCTCCTACACGTGCTTGTGTCCACCTGGATACAGCGGCCCCAACTGCCAAGTGGATGTGGATGATTGCATATCCGCTCCTTGTCTCAATGGTAACTAGCCTGTGCTTTCTGTAATCTGTAGACACCCTGTCTGTCTGTCTGTCTGTAGACACCCTGTCTGTCTGTTTGTCTGTAGACACCCTGTCTGTCTGTTTGTCTGTAGACACCTTGTATGTCTGTCTGTTTGTCTGTAGACACCCTGTCTGTTTGTCTGTAGACACCTTGTATGTTTGTCTGTAGTCACCTTCTTTGTCTGTCTGTTTGTCTGTAGACACCTTGTCTGTCTGTAGACACCCTGTCTGTCTGTTTGTCTGTAGACACCCTGTCTGTTTGTCTGTAGACACCTTGTATGTCTGTCTGTCTGTAGACACCTTGTATGTCTGTCTGTTTGTCTGTAGACACCCTGCCTGCCTGTCTGTTTGTCTGTAGACACCTTGTATGTCTGTTTGTCTGTAGACACCTTGTTTGTCTGTAGACACCTTGTATGTCTGTCTGTCTGTAGACACCTTGTATGTCTGTCTGTTTGTCTGTAGACACCTTGTATGTCTGTCTGTCTGTAGACACCTTGTATGTCTGTCTGTTTGTCTGTAGACACCTTGTATGTCTGTCTGTTTGTCTGTAGACACCTTGTATGTCTGTCTGTTTGTCTGTAGACACTTTGTATGTTTGTCTGTAGACACTTTGTATGTCTGTCTGTTTGTCTGTAGACACCTTGTATGTCTGTCTGTTTGTCTGTAGACACCTTGTTTGTCTGTAGACACCTTGTATGTCTGTCTGTTTGTCTGTAGACACCTTGTATGTCTGTCTGTTTGTCTGTAGACACCTTGTATGTCTGTCTGTTTGTCTGTAGACACCTTGTATGTCTGTCTGTCGGTCTGTAGACACCTTGTCTGTCTGTAGACACCTTGACTAACAGTTCTACTTGTGTCTTAGGTGGCCGCTGTAGTGACCAGCCCAATGGATACAAATGTTTCTGTCCTGCTGGCTACAATGGCACCGAGTGCCAGACTAACATTGATGACTGCAAGCTCAAGCCATGTCTGAATCAAGGCACCTGCGTGGATCTGGTCAGTGACTTCCGCTGTCAATGTGTCCCCGGCTTTGTTGGCTCTCTCTGTCAAATCAACGTGGATGACTGTGAGATGCGTCCCTGTGCTAATGGTGGCGTGTGTACTGATCTCATCAATGACTTTCAGTGCCAGTGTGCAGCAGGCTTTGATGGAAAAGACTGTAGCCTGGTACTGGACGCCTGTGCCAGTAAGCCCTGTCTAAATGGGGGCGCATGTACCAACTTGTTTGCTGATTTTTCCTGTTCCTGCCCTGAAGGATATTGGGGGAAAAGCTGTCAACTGCTGCTGGGCATGGCGCCCAATCAAACAGTCGAGTCCAGCACGACTGCGGCTACGGGCCAGATGTCGGCCAACTCGGCCCAGGAGGAGGTTGGCCTGACCCTGGCCCAGCTCCTGATTGTGGTGTGTCTGGGGGGGGGCATACCCCTCCTCATCATCATCATAGCTGTCAGCATCCTGCTGTGTCGCAAACGCTCGTACCTCCAGCGTCACACGCAGCAGAACCTTGAGAACCTGGCCAGGGAGAAAGAGCACCACTACATCAACAACATGAACAACAAGTGCAGCGCTGACTCCACCCTCCCCTCCACCCTCCCCTCCTCCTCTTCTAACTCCTCCAGTATTAAGATCTGTAACGAGGATCAGCAGGACTTGAACAAATTGAAAAGTTCCAACCTGCTACCTGAACATACAGGGGGCGGGGCTTGTTCAAAACAGCAGTCAGGACCAGCGGTGTGCGGCTCAACAATGTGCGGGTCAGCCATGTGTGGGTCAGCCATGTGTGGGTCAGCCATGTGCGGGTCAGCCATGTGTAAAGGAGACATTCGAGACTACAGAAGGTTAAATGTGGATTCTTTACCAAGGTAAGGTATTTGTTCTCATGGTTGGTGTGTGTTAACTGGTTACATGGTTGGTGTGTGTTAACTGGTTACATGGTTGGTGTGTGTTAACTGGTTACATGGTTGGTGTGTGTTAACTGGTTACATGGTTGGTGTGTGTTGTCTGGTTACATGGTTTTTTGACAGACATTTTTTTTAAATTTCAGTATTTATGCAGACATAAAGACTGGTGCAAGTCTTACTAAAGAACACACATCGATGTGCGAAGGCCAACATACAGAGCACATGACATGGAGGCCACATTCAGAGCAGGCTCCTGGGTACCTACCTCCTACAGTATTGTTGCACCATTATTCTTGTCATGATGAGGATTATTTGGCTACTGAAGTTTGACCTTCATCCAGTAATATGACCTTGATCCAGTAATATGACAGTCACATTGTCTCAAATGGCAAATTTTGGACATTTGAATATGTCACAAAATGACATTTGTACACCTCGTGAAAGAATCTTTGTACACCTTATGAAAAGGACATTTGTACACCTTACAAAAAGGACATTTGTACACCTTACAAAAAGGACATTTGTACACCTTACAAAAACGACATTTGTACACCTTATGAAAAGGACATTTGTACACCTTACAAAAAGGACATTTGTACACCTTACAAAAAGGACATTTGTACACGTTACGAAAAGGACATGTGTACACGTTACGAAAAGGACATGTGTACACCTTACAAAAAAGGACATTTGTACACCTTACAAAAAGGACATTTGTACACCTTACAAAAAGGACATTTGTACACGTTACAAAAAGGACATTTGTACACCTTACAAAAAGGACATTTGTACACCTTACAAAAAGGACATTTGTACACCTTACAAAAAGGACATTTGTACACCTTACAAAAAGGACATTTGTACACCTTACAAAAAGGACATTTGTACACCTTACAAAAAGGACATTTGTACAAACTGGAACAAATTTTGTACTTAATTTTGTGACCTTGACATTGTAATAATTTATGCAAAAACTTTCTTCCTAAAGAGCCAGACATTCCATTTTTCTGTTGGCCAGTGAACCCAGTGAACTCTAGCATTCCATCACTGGCAGGGGGAGCTGTTGTCAGGGCACTGGAAGTTGACAGCAGGCTGTACAGGACAGCAGGCTGTACAGGACAGCTGGCTGTACAGGACAGCAGGCTGTACAGGACAGCAGGCTGTACAGGTTAATTTATTGTTCTAGTCAGCTCCAGCAGCATCTATTTATAGAATTTATTTGTAGAATACTGTACAAAATTCTTGTTGGCTTTGTGATTGATTTATGTGTTCATCTGCAAATTTTTTCATTTGTACCTTTCTGACTGGATGTGTTGAATCCAAGGGTGGATTGTAATCCAAGGGTGGATTGTAATCCAAGGGTGGATTGTAATCCAAGGGTGGATTGTAATCCATTGAGTTTTGGGTTAGCCAAAGAGAGTTAGGGTTTGTCAAGGGTGTCAGAACATGCTGTTTACACTTCAACCTTTGAACAAAAAGATTGACAGGTTTTCATCACAATTTTTCTATCACACGTTTGGCCATCTCAATGTTTGGCCATCTCACAACACATTGGGCCATCACAACACATTGGGCCATCTCACAACACATTGGGCCATCACAACACATTAGGCCATGACAACACATTAGGCCATAGAACATATGTTCCTTTGAACTATCATTGTATTTTTGACTGCTTTGTTACACAAAACCAAATTGCCTGTGATTGTAAATACTATGTATATTTATAGCCCAATTTCTAGATGTTCTTGAATAAACAAGGTCACATGATTTCTTTCAATGCTTTTCTTAACTTTCTTTTGGGCCATTGAAAGTATGGCTTCAAACCATTTAGCTAATGACATGCTACATCTTGATGTCATAGATGTCACAAACCATTTAGCTAATGGCATGCTACATCTTGATGTCATATATGTCACAAACCATTTAGCTAATGGCATGCTACATCTTGATGTCATATATGTCACAAACCATTTAGCTAATGACATGCTACATCTTGATGTCATAGATGTCATGTCACAAACCATTTAGCTAATGACATGCTACATCTTGATGTCATATATGTCACAAACCATTTAGCTAATGACATGCTACATCTTGATGTCATAGATGTCATGTCACAAACCATTTAGCTAATGACATGCTACATCTTGATGTCATAGATGTCATGTCACAAACCATTTAGCTGACATGCTACATCTTGCTGTCATAGATGTCATGTCACAAACCATTTAGCTAATGCCATGCTACATCTTGCTGTCATAGATGTCATGTCACAAACCATTCAGCTAATGACATGCTACATCTTGCTGTCATAGATGTCATGTCACAAACCATTCAGCTAATGACATGCTACATCTTGATGTCATATATGTCACAAACCATTTAGCTAATGACATGCTACATCTTGATGTCATAGATGTCATGTCACAAACCATTTAGCTAATGACATGCTACATCTTGATGTCATAGATGTCATGTCACAAACCATTTAGCTGACATGCTACATCTTGCTGTCATAGATGTCATGTCACAAACCATTTAGCTAATGCCATGCTACATCTTGCTGTCATAGATGTCATGTCACAAACCATTCAGCTAATGACATGCTACATCTTGATGTCATAGATGTCATAGATGTCATGTCACTAACCATTTAGCTAATGACATGCTACATCTTGATGTCATATATGTCACAAACCATTTAGCTAATGACAGGTCCCCCTAGATGTCACAAACCATTCAGCTAATGACATGCTACATCTTGATGTCATAGATGTCATGTCACAAACCATTCAGCTAATGACATGCTACATCTTGATGTCATTGATGTCACAAACCATTTAGCTAATGACAGGTCCCCCTAGATGTCACAAAGCCATTGGCAGGCTATCAATAATTCAATATTTTTGTGAGCTTAGCCTGACATGTGCATTCGTTTAGCCCAGGGGTCGGCAACCTTTTGAGATGGAAGAGCCAAAAGTTACAATTGTCAAAATTTCCCTGGTTTTAAAGAGCCACTAACATTTTTTATTTCAAATATTTTTTTTATTAAGATTATTAGTATTTGTGCAAGGAGCTGGAGAGCCGCATCTTGATATCAAAAGAGCCGCATGTGGCTCGCGAGCCGCAGGTTACCGACCCTTGGTTTAGCCGTATGTATGTATGTAAAGGCGAATTTGAGATTTTAAGACTTGAAAGATGACCTCTGAATATTGGGTCAATATTTGACGCGTTGTTTTGTCCAACAGCCGTCCATTGTTTACAACAGCCGTCCATTGTTTACAACAGCCGTCCATTGTTTACAACAGCCGTCCATTGTTTCCTCTTGGGAACCTGGTGTTTGATTTGAGCTCATGGTCAACTTCAGATGTCAGCACTGTGGCCAGTGTTTCTTTCAGACTTTTTTTTTCTTAAAAAAACTGTCAGTTGCTTGACTGCGCTCCATACCCTGTAAACTTTACACGCAGGTCAAGTAATATTGGACCAAACAATTGGCTGGAATGATATTTATATCATGATATCATTGAATGATATATCATATCATTGAATGATATGATATAAATATCATTGAATGATATTTATATCATTGAATGATATTTATATCATGATATCATTGAATGATATTTATATCATGATATCATTGAATATTTTTATCATATCATTGAATGATATTTATATCATGATATCATTGAATGATATTTATATCATGATATCATTGTATATTTATATCATATCATTGAATGATATTTATATCATGTCATTGAATGATATTTATATCATGATATCATTGTATATTTATATCATATAATTGAATATTTATATCATGATATCATTGAATGATATTCATATCATGATATCATTGAATGATATTTATATCATGATATCATTTAATGATATTTATATCATGATATCATTGTATATTTATATCATATAATTGAATGATATTTATATCATGATATCATTGAATGATGTCTCAGCGAAGTCCTCATCTATTGTGTACTGAACTGCTGGGCAAGTCGAGATTCTTTGATTCAAACTGAAAAGTAGAAATGAAACTAGATCTAGATCTCCCTTTTTTTCAGTTGTGCACGAGAGAAAAAGTTTCTCCACAGTTGATGCCTACATAGATCTCAAGTATTACATAACACAGCGACCCTCCCTAGGCTTCTATGTGTTTACCTTTGTATTAAAAATCTTCTATTGTTCCTTTTACGAAAATTTATTTTTATTAATTGAAAAAAAAATAGATAAAGGCCCTATTGTTGTCATCGATTTGCTTAAGTTTTTTTTTCCAGATGAATTATTTCTTTCGTTTGCTTTTATTGTGGAGAATGAATGGGTGAGGTGGTGTGTGTGGGGGGGGGGGGGTTGTCATATTAATCTTAAAAACTCTAGGCCCGCCTGTAGCCCCAAGCCTGACTGCAATGTTTCAGAAGTCTCCAACTGACCGCGAGGTGGCGCGCCGTATTGGACACAAACAATCAACAGCTAGCGTCAACAGACGCCGGGGCGAGGGGTTGGCGGCCACGCTCAATGTTTGCCCAGCTAATGGCGGGCAAATCAGACGGATTGTCTCAAGTAACAGTGGCCATTGTGGGCCATTGTCGGCCACTGCTGGCCCAACCTCAGTGGTATGGGCAGGGATCTGGATACGTGCAAGTGTGTGTGTGGGGGGGGGGGGGGGGGGGTAGGCTACCTGTGACTGACACATTGAAATATTTGAAGAGAAGAACATCATTTATTGAAGGCAGCTACTCGGTATTTTATTTAAAAAAAAAAAAGTATGAAAGAATAAATATGTATTCAAATGTCATTGTGCTAAAGCCTTTCACAAAGGTCTCTGGGAAAGTTTGACGCCCTGTTGTGTATGGAATGAAGAGCACCAAGTCTCTTGCTAGGAGGTCAACGGAAAAAAGTCACAGGAAAAATAAACACAGAATACAAAACTCACAACAAAAATAAACACAGTAGAAAGTCAGTTTTTTGGTAGGAAAAAAGTCACCAAAAAAATTCATAAAAAATGTTTTAATAACACGCCTGTACGTAATAATGCACTAAAAAGGAGAAAATATTTATTTTCTTTAAATATTTAATAATATAATACCATTTAAATAACTATAAAGAAACCACGTCTTTACGCCATTTCACGCAGTTAGTATTTAACAAACAAGATTGAAACCGAGAAAGTGCGTACATTATTTTATATTCTATAAAATTTAATATGTAAAATGGAATTACAATTACAACCTACAAACTTTATACGAAAATATTGTATGTGTGCTATAAATATTTCTATATGTATACAACCCACGCATATCTATCTAACATACCCATAGTATATTGAACTCTCTTAACCGAATGTAGGCGCCATAGCGCTCACGTAAAGCAACCTGTCGGGGAGCCGGAGGACGCCCGGATTCGATTTAGTTAAATACTGTATTAATCTTTCTTATTCATAGTCTATCGCACTGTTTAAAATGAACGTATTCACTAAAGCGCTCACAGGATAGCCAAGGGCGCAAAATCGAACCCTTGCCGGGGCGCCGGCGAACGTGCTTGATTCAATTTAGTGAACGACTATAATACCCCCAGCTTGTCCGCAAACCGAAAGACGGAAGTAAACAAATGGGGCACTGGTTCTAAACTGTTACTGATTTAAAATAATAATTAGTAAACAGTACGTTCAGTGTATAAAATAAAAGGCAGTATTTAAAATATCTGTGTTTTACCTACGACATTGCGCTTTATCAATATATGCTGATTATATAATTATTTTTTTCCAACACCAAAACAAATAAAAAGTATCACCCTTCCCCCGATGTAGTGTTTTTAAAGGGAAATAATTTTTTTTTTATCTATCAAGGGAAGTAACTGTCATTAAGTGAACAAAGTAAAATAATTTGTACACTTTTAAATGTTTATGAAGGATGAGAGATTTTCTTTGACTTTGTTTATTCTACATGACGTTGATTAAAATGATACGTTTGGAAAATGAAACTTTTTTTTAATAAAACCATCCATATTAATTTTTTTAAATCATTCATTTAGAAAATAAACGCTTTATTAATATTAAATTATGGCGATCAAGTCGAGTTTTTTTTTGCTGTACGGCTGTCCTACACGAGTCTGTCCGCTGGGACATATATGTGTTACGGTCAAAGCCCGCATTGGCCGGCCAATTTGTGCAATTGCCGGCTCTCTTGGCCAAAGCCCGAAGAACTTAGCACTAAGAGCGTATTTCGTACATTGGCCGGCCAATGCGCGCACTGGCCAGGACGTACTGGACAAAGCCCGAAGCGCTTAAACTTGACAGCGTATTTTGTACATTGGCCGGCCGATGCGCGCACTGGATGCGGTTTCATTGTGAGTAAGGTATTGTTTGGCTCTTGCTTATATAGCATTGTATATGCAATGCGACATGGACCAAAAGGACCGTCAGATCAAGAGACAGACATACCAGATGGCTGCCAAAATAAAAATAATCCAAATCCTAATGGAATGGAATTTGTGAATCAAGTTATTTCTGAACTAACGAACATATGGCATGAACTTAAACTAGTTCACTGAAAACCAAGGCATAGCCAAAGCAAATGTTCAATAGAACGTGCCAACTAAGATGTTCAAAACATGATGATGACAAGGATGCAGACAAATGAATCAGCTTATTGGGCTGAGAATCTTCATTCAATTTATGAAAAACCGTAATTTTCGTCAAGGAATCCAACAATCGCCATACGAAAACTTGTTTGGGT